ACTCCATCAAAATTACATATTAACTAATTTTCACGTATTACACTATTTCAACATGATCTCATGAGTATTCATAAAATGTGATATTAATCATCTATTTGTATTAATCATAATTTGGGTATGAACTTTACAGACATACAAATGTTTACAAATCCTTATTAATTTGTAATCAATTGATCACTCGATTCTCTGTGGTCATAATTAATTATATTACATTTTCAATCACATTTATTTAACAGTTGGCTCATTTACTTAATTTGAAATGACAACATTTCATTGTGTTCTGTGTGACTTCTGATGTCACAAGACTTCTGGTTCTAGCTCATTTATATTATTTTAAACCAAGCTACACTTTAAAACATGACAATTATGAAATGTCTTGTAATGATTTAGAAATGATCAATCATGCAATAGTTATTTTGTTCGATATTTGTGAGCATTCACACATCCATTCGTATAATTATTGTACTGTATGTTTAAGCATCTACCCAAAGTAAAAAAAAATGTTTTTAAATACATACAAATACCCATGAATAAACAATTTAGACCAGAGTGATTGTTAACTTGTCTCACAAAACTAAAAGCTAAACAAAATTTCTTAGGAACTCAATCATTTGTATCCATCTGGCGAATCTCCGCTCTCTACACAACAAAACGGACGACACTTTAATAAAGCAAATCTCTCCCATGACCTGCCAAAATACAGACAGCATGTTACATGTCCCACCAGAGACAGTAATCTATTGAATCACTGTTACACCACAATAAAGGATGCATATCACTCTGTCCCACAGGCAGCTTTGGGGCTTTCTGATCACTGTTTGGTTCATCTTATACCGACCTACAGGCAGAAACTGAAATCAGCTAAACCTGTGTTAAGAACTGTAAAGAGATGGACTAATGAAACAGAGCGGGTTTTACAAGCCTGTTTCGACCTCACTGATTGGAGTATTTTTGAAGCTGCTGCAAACGATCTGGACGAGCTCACAGAGACTGTAACATCTTATATCAGTTTCTGTGAAGATATGTGCATTCCTACCAGGACTCATTTAACCTACAACAACGACAAACCATGGGTCACTGCAAAACTCAGACAGCTCAGTCAGGCCAAAGAAGATGCTTACAGGAATGGGGACAGAGTCTTGTATAAACAGACCAAATACACACTGGAAAAGGAGATCAGAGTGGCAAAGAGGAATTATTATGAAAAGCTAAGGATTCAGTCCTCTTCCAGTGACTCAGCATCAGTGTGGAAAGATCTGAAAGACATCACCAATTACAAGACACCATCCCCCAGCACTGTGGAGAATCAACAACTGGCACACGATTTGAATGAGTTTTACTGCAGGTTCGAAAAGACCCCACACCCACTCTGAACACTTCTCCACACAACCACTAACACCTCCTGCAACCCCACTCTCGTCATCTCCTGCACCTCAGATCAGCAAAGATGATGTGCGCCAGGTCTTCCGGAAGCAGAAGAGGAAAAAAGCACCAGGCCCAGATTGTGTTACACCAGCCTGTCTTAAATCCTGTGCTGTCCAGCTGGCCCCCATCTTTACACAGATCTTCAACAGATCACTGGAGCTGTGCAAAGTCCCTTCATGCTTCAAACACTTCACCATCATCCCCATCCCAAAGAAATCCAAAATTACAGGACTAAATGACTACAGGCCTGTGGCTCTAACATCTGTGGTCATGAAGTCATTTGAAAAACTGGTGCTGGCCCACCTGAAGGACATTACTGGACCCTTGCTGGATCCTCTTCAGTTTGCCTACAGAGCAAACAGGTCTGTGGATGATGCAGTCAATATGGGACTGCATTATGTTCTGCAACATCTAGACAGACCAGGGACTTATGTGACTGAGGATCCTGTTTGTGGACTTCAGCTCGGCTTTTAACACCATCATCCCAAACCTCCTCCTGCCCAAATCAACTCAGCTCTCCATGCCCACCTCCGTCAGTCAGTGGATCACCAGCTTCCTGACAGACAGGCAGCAGCTAGTGAGGCTGGGAAAATCCAGCACCCGTAAAATCAGCACCACTTAGTTTACATTTCGAACTTGCACATAATACAGTATACCTGTACATACAAAACTGTCTATTGTAATATACCTGTACATACAATTGTCAATTTGTATATTGCTATTCCCTATTTACTTGTTCTATTTTTTTATTTTATTTTTTTATTTATTTTTAATCTGTGTTTTTGTCCTGTCACTGTCATTCTGTTGAAAACAAATTCCTCGTATGTGTAAACATACCTGGCAATAAAGCTCATTCTGATTCTTTTGATTCTGATTGTAGTTCATGATAGTGTAATATGGTAATAGACTTTACCCTTTTAACTCAATAACTTGACAAATGGAGTGTGAAGACATGCAGTGTTTGATAACAACACTTCTAGACTTGCGCAACTCCACCTAGTCTAAGAACATCACATGTATCACACATTAAATGTCTGGGTTTGTTTTGTTATCACTCATTTCTCGTTACATTGACAGAATACAAATTGCTTATAATTGCAATTGAGTCTGCAGCGCTCCTTCCTGTAAATGTGGTTTGTTGAGGGCCTTCATTCCTATGGAAACACAATAGCGTGACAGGAATTGGACGATGCCACAATGGCCGAGGCCGTGAAGGAGGCGGGTTTCTCTTTAGTGTGAACTTAACCATGGCTGAGCCTTTGTGCTTTAGCTCCATTGAAGAGGCAAAATGGAAAAGCAAGAAAAGACAGGCTGAAAATGGTGAAGAATAAGGTGAAGGGCTGAGAAAACTTTGAGAGGGGAGGAGAAAGTGAGAATGGGAGTGGGAAATGCACAAGAGGTTGAATGGGAATAAAAAAAGAATGTGTGTGTGTGTGTGTGTGTTTGCGTGTGCTGAATTCTGCTCCCCCCACTTAAGTAATCAATATGCTGCGTGAGAGGAATAGAGACCCAAACCACAACACAGAATGTAAAAACAAACAACAAAAAAAAAACTTCAGTCCTAAATAGTATATAGTTAACTGTACATTTTAAACACAAACATATCATATTATCACATACTCATCCACAAACAGAGCTTATATTCTGCACTAATGATCCGTAACTGATAGCTTGGTTTGGTTTTATTAATAATGGGATGTCTAAGTGTTATGATGAAGTCTGTTACAAAATAACATCAGTCATTTGGGGTTAATGTAGTATAGACTGTTGAAACTCATTAATTCATATCAGGCCAGTAAGCCATTACACATACAATATTTACATGTCTCTGACTAGTCTTTCACACCACTGTCTCAGCCTGAGAGATTTCTGTATTGACTGCAAGATTGACAGCCAACAACAGTCGGTGTGTTTGAAAACAAGTACGCATCCATCTAACACCTCTGCATTGTTTATTACTGTCTTTACACTGTATTAAAATGATCCACTTCTGTGACTCATTGATGTTTGTTTTTTTATTCGTTCCCCCAATTTTGGTAATGTGATAAAATTGAGACAGTTAGCTATTCATCATAGACCAAGCATGACTAAATAAACATTGCATATGCATAACTTGATACCTGAACTTGCATAATACGCTGCATGGCGACACAACATTGCAGTAAATGACTGGGATCAAAACAGTGCAGTTTTATGAAGGATTATGAAACCATCCCAGCAGGCATAGATCAGAGTGCAGTGCTGTGATATAACCTGCTGCTTGTGAAACAGCCGGGGTGCATGACTTCATAATGTCTACACACGAGTGCATCATCAATGGCTGATCTCAGAGGTAGCGTTGAGACTAAATGTCAGTGTGTGCACAATCATTTTATTGATTTGCCCAAAAATATTAAAACGTTTTTGAAAGAACAACATACAAATGAGATTTCATGGCTATGTATATTCAGATATAACTGACTGGGTTATGAATGTGATTTAAACCTGAATACACAATCATAATTTTATGCCTCTCTGCTTTAAGACTATGAGACAAGTGAATGAAACTTATGGTTATTAGGCACTTCTGCTGAAATATAGGCATCACTTTGTAAAAAGTCTTATGGGTAACACTTTACTAAGTTCACGACAAATATAATGCAGTTCATAATACAATGCATTCGAATATTAAGAACTGTCACGACTTGGGGGTCCAGAAGTCTGAGACTACATTGCAAATCTTGGATTTAAAATGTAAATTAAACCTGATTAATAATAATAATAATAATAATAATAATAATAAAAAACACATTTTAAAATGAATTAAAATAAGAAATAAATAATTAATACATCATTAAATAAATGAAAACAAGAAATGTTGACATAAGACTATTACGAATTATTTAAAATTCTGAACAATATGTAATAATAAAAAAAGGGCTTTTTTTTTTTTTGCCTGCCACAGGATGCTTGCTGTCTGTAAGATTCTTAAATAATTTTGGATAACATGATCACCCAAATGTGTACATTTCTTGTCAGCTTGAGTGGTACTGTCATTAAAAATCAAATTCATTTTTCAATTAAACTTTTCACTCAATTCGAGGGGAAAAAATTGTTAATTAAATAAATACATAAATACATTTATTATTAATAAAAAAAATTATTTATGATTAAAATGAATATAAAATAACAAATATAATTTTTTTTCAGACTTTGACCCCACTGTATATTTTGGTATTATATTTATACTCCCTATATGGACTTCTGAATTTTTATGCATTATATAAAGTTTGTGACTTATTAATGCAAGTCATTTTAAAAAGTTACCCTCCGAGGTGAAATGGTGCTGAATCTGATGCAACACAGGAGCTGAGAGGCCAGCTAAACCTATAGTCACGCTCCACGTTACCTCTGTCATTCACATGCCTCGGCCCAAATCTTATATTCAATGTTCTTTCACAGCCTCATCCATGGCAGTCCTTACTACTCACCAACTTTCGGAAAGTGTTCAATTCCCACGGGTAACTCTCCCCACCCCTCTGCCCCCTTATTCCCCCTTAGTGGCAGCCGACAGGATTTTTCCACCATGGTCTTACCGTCAGTGCACTCTTCATAATGCCAGTCCAGCTCATAGTAATCAGCCTCCACAAACCTCTGCATGCTCAGTTTCCTTGAGTCTTGAGCTGCAGCCTCTCCCGTCCGGCGTCTGAGGTCACACACACATACATGTACCCATGGCCACCCATTCTCCCAGCAGCCTGGAAGCCCGATCTACCGATCTGCCACTAACTAGTCACAAGACATTCTACACACACACACAAGGTCAGAGAACAAGAGATGATGAAGGGAAAAATGCAGTGTCTCTAAAAGCCAGCAGTGTTGCGCAAGGAAACTGTACCGCTATAGTCAAGGTTGTATCACACTCAGGAGGGCGGGGCCTACCAGCAAAGCCAGCCAATCAGAGCACACTTCATCAGAGCTGCTTCGTCACAGCCTGACCCGGTCTCCTCATCTCTCCCCGTTTCCAAGGCGCCTCCCTCTAGAAAGGTTGCCATGACAACTAGCTCTGACTTCAGGCTGTATTAGTTACTGCATGTGCTCTGTCGCTTAACTTCCCTATGTGTTTCTCCATCACTCTCCCACTGATCTGTCTGCCACGCAATTAGCAGCGGTAGTGATGCATGCGTGGAATCTTTCATTTTGGTGCTCAGGTTAAGTGTAAGTGCTTGTACAGTGATGGCAGGTGTTCTGCTTCTGTCTGCCTGCCAAAAGAAGCAGCAAAATCTCAGCAATTCACTGTGCCAAGAACTGCTACAAATAGGCTGGTGGGGGAAAAAAGGAGACACACTTAATCTGCAGTGGTCCTGGATTTTTCTGCTTTAATCTACATAAAGGCTTTTTCTTGATATTCATTGCAAACCGAAATACTTTATTGATTTTATTTGAGAAAATTGCTTATTTGACTTTACTGAGCATGACAATGTATTCTTGAATGGTGTGAATGATCCAATCACAAGCTTGCGTTCATCTATGATGTCATTTTCCTGTGCCGTGGACCTGCTATTGATGACTTTTCAGTTGCCAGCTCATCGGCTCACGGGTGAGAGGCACATACTGATGACATCATGCTGGTGGGGTTATGGATTTATGGAGTTGTGTGATATGAGGAGTGATCAGAGGAAACAAAGGGAACAATCATACCTATAATTACCTAGTTACCTCTGACTTGATTAGTGCATTCCACACAATCATAAGAAAAATAAAATGCATAAAGGACTATTAAGAGTTTTTTTACATTGCAAAATAATTTTCATGACAACTAAGTACATAGTGCTTGCTTTTACAAAGAATAAACCCAATCAAAATTTCTTCTAGCAAAAATCATATTCAGTACCTTACAAATTATTTTCATGACAACTAAGTACATAGTGCTTGCTTTTACAAAGAATAAACCCAATCAAAAATCATATTCAGTACCTTACAAATGACCTTTACAATTAAAAACTACTATTACTACTACTACTACTTATATATTTTGCATTACAGTAATAACTCATATTTTCCATATTATTTAGGGCTAAAGATAATGGGGGTATGTGCCAAACAGTCATAATGTTAAAACGTGACATGACCACAGCATAGTATGGCAAAAAAAAAAAAAAAAAGAAGCAACATTTTTGGCTTAATTTCGGTATGAAAACTATTTTTTATTTTGTGAGTCTGTGGTGACTTGGGGAGACAGCGAAGAGAAAACTGTCAAGAAAAAAATTAAGTAAAATGCGCTGAAATAAAAAGTTACTAAAATTCACACAATAAGAACTCCAGAGTAAGCTAATATTAAGAAAGTTAATATTGAGTAACTTACATTTTAGATAGTATTGCCGGCTACTTTGACATTTTGCTTAAAAAAACTAAACAAAAAAAGTTTAAAACAAAAACACAACAGGATCAACTGCGGATTTCCAAGCAGCACACAGTAGTGGTGTTCATTTCTAAATTAATCAGTGGTTTTAAACAAAACACTTGAGTGAATAATTCAATGACTCACTCATAATCCAACAAAGTCTTCATCACTTATTGTCATTTACTGGTGTAATGATGCAACTTGAAGAAATAGCCATTAAAAAAAATCCCCATCACTAATACACAGACCGACAGCCTGTTTGGAACGCCAGAAACACAGAATAGCAGACAAGCAAAAAAATGAAAATTGCCAGTGCTGTTGTACTCTAAATCAACTCTCTTGGAACGCCACTCAAGGGGGAAAAATACTCATATACCGAATTAGCCCGAATATAAGACGACCCTGATTAAAAGATGACCCCCCCCCTTTTCCAGATGTACCTTTTGGAAAAAGGCTTTTTAAAAAACAAATCTTTTTTTCTCAGTAAAACACATTTTGTCTTCAATTATTTTCATATTGCATATTTTTCCTATTTTAATTTTTGTTTTGAAAGTATGGTAAAAACTGGTCAAATTTACCAACAATCACATTTTTTAAAATATACACTTTTTGATATACCATAAAAAAAACAAAAACAGGTAGCCCATCTGAATTAGGACATCTAGGTTATCCATCTAATAGCAGCCTACCAAAATCTTATTAACAGTAGAAGTTAAACTTACTGTAGTCTTCAAATCTGGGTACTGTCTTATGTTTTAAAATCACAAAGGGAGTTTGGTCCCATCAGGCTAACGTGACAGTCACGACTCATGCAGCTGTAAGGTTTTCTTTCTCTTTAGATTTTACTCGCGATCTTTACAACACTTACATTACATTACGTATTTCATGGCACACTCGTTTTATGCATATTTGGCGCCACCTATTGTTGTGGGTGTATTATTGACATGTCAAAGTCTAGACCCTGAATATAAGACGACCGTGTTTTTTCAGATTTATTTCCAAGAAAAAAACATCGTCTTATATTCGGGTCAATACGGTACTGCGAGAGATTTGGTTAAAATCATGTTAGCCACAGTCCTTCCCAAACCAAGAGCTGGGCCTTGAACTATTTTTTTAGCTAAAATATGAAATAGCTGCATGACAGCTCATAAGATTCAGGGCATCAAAAAAGCAGCTCATAATGAATCATTATCAATGACAGTCAAACACACTCTACTGTAAAACTCCTGTGATCTATAATCTCGGATAACTATTGTAAGGGTGCTACCTTATCAGGATTTTTGAAATCGATCACAGGAAGCGGTCCCTGCCGATATGATCACCGATACCGATATTTTTAAAGCCTTCTTTTTATCATGTAGAATTATTTATAGTGATGCTCCAATCAAGATTTTTATAGACATTCATTCAGGGCTTGAATTTCATTTTTGAAAATGGGGGGAATTCCCCTCACCCTCTTAGGTGACTCTTGTGGCGGGAATTTTTTTATTTTAATTGAATACATTTTTGTTTTTACAATGGAGCAATTGCTGCACAATAGCTTACACACAGCACAAGCTTGATTTCGTAAGCTGTACACTCTAAAAATAATGTGTTTGCTAATAAATAAATAAAAGCAAATAAATAAACACAACAGTTTGCATTATTTTTTTTTGAGTTATGACAACCTCTAATGAATTTATGTTCAACCAACAAACTACATCAAGTTAGAAGAACTTAATCATTTGTAACAAACATATTTTTAAGTTACTGAAATTAAGTTGCTCCAAGTAAAAGCAAATAAATAAACACAACAGTTTGCATTATTTTTTTTTGAGTTATGACAACCTCTAATGAATTTATGTTCAACCAACAAACTACATCAAGTTAGAAGAACTTAATCATTTGTAACATAAACATATTTTTAAGTTAATTACTGAAATTAAGTTGCTCCAACTAATGGATTTGTCAGTCTGGAACCAATTTATATAATCTTTTTTTCAGTTCAAATCCACAGCTATCATAGCACAAGCTAACGGTTATTTAGCATGTATAATGAACAAGTAAGATGTTATTTATCACTGGCATTAGCGCAGTCATTGCTAATAGAGTCAATGTAGTGTTTATCTTCATGTGTTCTACTCTTCAGCACAATGGTAACCATAAAAACTTCAACATAACAGAAACTCTTTTAAAATGTCAAACATAACATAATTTCCCTTCACTAAAAAAAAAAAACACATAAAATAACATTTAATTTCAACATTTACTCTCCTTATCCAGTCAAAGCATGCTGGGAACTAGAAATCCACTACCCAAATTCCAAAGTTAACAAGACAAATTTTTTTGAGTTACTGCAACTTCATTTTTAACGATATTCAATTAACCGAAATTTGAGTTTAAATTACACACAATATTAAGTTAATGCAATGATCAACATTATTATGTCAACTGAACTCAACAAAATAACTGGCATTAGCGCAGTCATTGCTAATAGAGTCAATGTAGTGTTTATCTTCATGTGTTCTACTCTTCAGCACAATGGTAACCATAAAAACTTCAACATAACAGAAACTCTTTTAAAATGTCAAACATAACATAATTTCCCTTCACTAAAAAAAAAAAACACATAAAATAACATTTAATTTCAACATTTACTCTCCTTATCCAGTCAAAGCATGCTGGGAACTAGAAATCCACTACCCAAATTCCAACGTTAACAAGACAAATTTTTTTGAGTTACTGCTACTTCATTTTTAACGATATTCAATTAACCGAAATTTGAGTTTAAATTACACACAATATTAAGTTAATGCAATGATCAACATTATTATGTCAACTGAACTCAACAAAATAATGTTTGCAATTTAAAAGGTTTATTTAAATTATTACATTAGAATTTTTAACTTGCAACCATGCATTTATTTAAGTTGTGGTAACATGTCCCCTGAATCTTTTTTTTTAAAGTGTATGTACAGGTGCATCTCAATAAATTAGAATGTCGTGGAAAAGTTCATTTATTTCAGTAATTCAACTCAAATTGTGAAACTTGTGTATTAAATAAATTCAGTGCACACAGACTGAAGTAGTTTAAGTCTTTGGTTCTTTTAATTGTGATGATTTTGACTCACATTTAACAAAAACCCACCAATTCACTATCTCAACAAATTCAACACAGTGGTTAAGAGTCTGGCAGGATGTAAGGTCAACTGCAGATCTGTCTGTTAAATACTGAATAAAATGAAAGTTTTGCATATGGTCAAATGTTGACAACCTAAGTGTTCAATCAAACTCAAGGACAGATCATGGCAAAAGGAACTGATCTAACAGACCTATCACCTGATCCCATAAAACACTGGTGTCGTGAGTGACAGGAGACTCAGCCAATGACCAGCAGTGATAAACGGTTGCCTGGCAATACGACCTAGTGTTGTGGCTACTAAACACAGCTGCCACATATGAACAACTGTACATGTATTAACCAAATTCTATCTTAAGTATCATAAGT